AATTGGATTGATCCAGGAAGCTATTGATTAAAAAAAAAAAAAAAAAAAAAAAAAGGAATGATGCAGTAGTAAAAACTGACATGTTGGATTGTAGCAAATGATTACATGCTTTATTTTCAGCTTTCTTATGTGCAGGAAAACCATATCATTAGGAGTTATCCTGTTATTACAATGAAACGTAGAAAAATAAATAAATACTAGTTGAAATAAGCTCATGTCATGTACTTAAGAGAACAATTTGGAGTGCCTTTAGATACCGATGAACAAAGTTGATCTGTCAGATATGCATAATAAGTCCCTTGATTACACCTATGTCATTTTATTTGCACATTTTTTCATTAGCTTTTGTGAGCTAGACAGAGCATAGCTCAAAGTGCTGCCAAGTCTGTGGTGGGAGGAAATTCTCTTCAGTGTTGGACTGGGATGTTTGAGGGACACAAACACCATTTTGTAGCGACACGTGTTTTCTGTGCTGGCAGCCTTATGCTCTTTCATGGTCTCTCCTTTCTTGGTTGGTTTCCCTGCTTGTTCTCACATGCACATACAAAAAGTAACTGCACATTCTCTAATGGTATATTGTACTTGAGCGTAGATCTTGGGAAAGTTTGCAAATTGATTTCAAGTTGCTGTGTTGTTTCATTCCAACTTCCACGGGCATAGGAAGTGAAGAAATTTGTCGCAAAAGAGGAATTTGTGCTGTGGCATCTGCTATCTTTAAATACAGAAAGCCTTGAAATATCCTGAACCTTCCTTTCTGAGGTTTGTATCAAACCATCAAGCTGCAGTGTTTTGAGATGAACATGCATTAATATAAGTTCCTGTTAATGATTTGATAGTTATCTTTTGCTAGCTATGTGCTAATCTGTTTCCACTCCATGTATGTCTTGGAGCCTTGGCCGCTGAGTTGTGCTGCCTGGGACAAGTGTGTTCCTTCCTTCCTGGCCTTTCCAAATTTCCAAGTTACCCCCAAACCATGCAACTCTCCTTTACATTGCGACCAGATGGCATTTACTGCGTATGTAATTCTTGCAGAAAAAGCTAAGCTTGTGGAGTTTCATCTATGGGTTATGAATATTTTAAGAGGACCATAGGGATGAGAAGAGGTCAAGTTGTTGCAGCTGACCGAATGCTTTTTGGACAGATATGGGGTGAAAGTCTCTCTTGGTTGGAATGACTTTAACACATTGAGGGTATCTCAACCTGTGGAGTGTTGAGTGTAAAGTGCTTATGAAGCTTATAGAGGAATGGTTAGAGAGTTGGGGCCATGCTCTCCCGGAGGGAGACAACCCAGGCCTTCAGGTGGAGACTTGCCCCTGCCCTTTCCTTGACCCGGTAGCAAGAGGGCAGTGAGCCGGGTGGGAGGTCCACCGATTGGGAGGAGCCCTGTTGTAGTCCAGGGCACGGAGACAGAACGCCAGCCAATGATACATGTGCACGGAGGTGGGCTGTAGCCAATAGGGAGCTGTGTGAGGCGCGCGCACGCCACGTGGGCGAGGTGAGACTGTACAAAACTGCTGTTATTGCCTTAAATAAACGGAGCAAGAGCTAAATTCATGTTGAGTGTGTGTCTTGTAACCCCGGCTCGGCTCCCAGAAACCCGGCGCAGGTCCCAACAGAAGCTCGCCTCTGTGGAGCCACATTCTTGAGCATCTGCTTTTGCAGAATTGGGAGACTTGAGGGTACCACAAAGGGGGATCCTGTGCGTTCCTGGTACATGTTCATGTAAGTGATGCTAGAGAGCTCGTGGTCACTTTGTATGTGTATATTTTCTTTTCCCAAAAGAATATACTATAATGCAAGATATCAGTTGTAAAATTGCACGTATAACTTTGTAATTATATTCAGATATGCCGTGTTACTGAATTTTACTTCACTAATAATCAGAATGATGTGCCAGTATATTGATTGGAAAGAAAAGAAAAAGATTGAGTAAGAAGGGAGCGCAACACACTGTGTACAAGACAGAAGGATCTGCAGAGCAAGGCAGAATGGGCAGGAGGGGAAACAGCGAGAACAACGGGGATGGCTTCAGTTGCAAGGGCATGAACTTCTGCAGTTGAATTTAGACGCCCTAAGAGAAGGCCTGTGACTGAAAAGTTCTGAACAGAAAGCAGTGCTGATCTCTAGCCACAAGCAAGAAGTGCCAAAAAAGCTTAAAGGCTGAAACAATTTTGCTAGCATTGATTCTGTGTTACCCAACAACTCCTTGGATGGCAAGTTTCTGAAAATAGCTTTGCTGGGTGTTCCTCTGCTTGCGTGCATGCTCAAGGTGGCAATAGAAGAGCCTTAAGGTAATGTTAAGGTCAACTTTTTCCTACTCTATTTCTCTCAAGAAAAATGTCACATCTTACTGTTCTCTCACACAGGCAGTCATTATAGCCAAGAAATCACTTTAAGCAAATCTATTAACAGATATATCTATTTATTAAGTCTACTAAAATCGCTTAGTATCACTCAGCATATCTCTCAAACAAGCTCATCTTGACTATAAGAAGTTTTGTTTGGCTGAGATGGCTTTACTCTTTTATAATGAAGTTTGAATTAAATGGCATCTCTGAGAAGAAACCATATCTAAAGCCTCCTGTTTAGCATGGTTCACAAACCTCTAACTCTGTTGCAGAGTTGTCTTATTTGCTGCAAGGTTCTTGTAATGGTAGAAACTTTACAGATCCAATAGTATCAGCGTAAGCTGCCAACATGTTCTTGCCTCTCCTGAACCTGCCTTGTGAATGACCTGCCTCTGCAGCGCTGGAGAGGTTAGCCTGGCGTGCAAGTTAGAGGCCTTGTTTCCAGGGCCTTGCATCTTCTGTGGTCACTGCAAGCCTGAGTATTTCAGGTGCAAATGACTGAAATCAGAAACTGAACCATAAATTGCATTTTATAAGCCACTTGGTTATGAGGTGCATGGCTGAAATAGTGTTGTTAAGAGCAAAGCCCAGAGCTCTAAGCACCTCACTTGCTTTGTTTTGGGCAGGCATTAATCGATTAAACCTGGGAGCATCATACTGCTGACTTATGTATGAGGTGCTACAACTGTTCTTTCATTTCCTTTCCCTGTTTTTGGTGCATTTTGGGGGCTAATAGTTCATTAAAAGTGGTCATGTATTACTTACGTAATGTATTTCCGAGAGTACTTGCACTAATAGTGTACAGTGGTGTACATAAATTACTGTTCTTTGTCCAAACTTTGGGTTTGCTTTGTGGAAAGCAACACCTCTCTCTGTTCTGGAAACTGATGGAGTTTGCATGTGGGAATTGAATTAGTTTAGTAAAGACTGCTGCTTTGAAGGAAGGGGTCAAAATACAGCCCCAGTATGGTCTGAAATGCAAAATACTTGGGAAAAACTGAGGAGAGAAGCCAGCTGGAGACCTCCGTAAGGAAGAGGATCTTCTCTGCCCCTTTTGATGAGCTGTTTCCTAGCTAAAACCCTTCCTTTCAATTATTTTCTCCACTGCTACTTTTCCTTCTGTCTTTAATGACCTCTTCCTGAAGTTGTGGGAATAACCTTGTAACACGGACACTGCTGACTTTGTGGGGCTGGTGTGCATCCCAGTGTGTGCTGGCGTTAGCTCACGGAATAAAGGCTCTCTAGAGCATGTTGGTGAGGGAAGAGTCCCTTCTCCAGGGGCTGATCTGTGCTACTGCTTCAGGGAAGGAGGGGAAAAAAAAAAAAGACAAAAAATTCTTCAGAGAAGCATTTCAGTTAAGGGTTTCATGCATTCACAGTTGTCAGGCCTTTGTAACCTTCTGAAATAACTTTCCCTTTTCTGACAGATTGCTTCTCTTGAAGGAATCTACGTGTGTTAGCCTCATTTTCAAATAAGGGTTTTCTGGCAGGGTGTTTGCTCAACAACGGGTACTCTGAAAATTAGAACTTAACGGCATCAATTTTTTTTCTAGTTTCCTTCTTGTGAAAAGGCCATGGCCATTAGATGAGTAAAAGGTCCTTTGTGAGAAAGTGCAGGATCAGGTGTTCCATTTAAAGACTAACTAGAAACTTGTCAAAAATGTGTGCCTGGTTCTGGTAGACGGAGTTCGCAGCCTCTCTAAATTCTGCATAAATAACAGAGCGGAAGCAGGCAAGCTGGGGTGTGAAGCAAAACAAAACAAAATCCAAGTCATTCATTATGTGTTTAGTATGTGAAGTGAAGGCTCAAGGTTTTAGAAATCAAATAGTACTGGAGGAAGAAACATGAAAGGAAAATACTACTTTAGGCCTTCCAGAATCACTTGGCAATGGGGAATGAGCTCTGGGATGTGTAGCTCATCTCTGTGAGGAAGAGTATAGGGGTATAGTTCTTATACTTAGTCACTGCCACATGTTAGGGATAAAAAATGGATGCTAAAAGCTTCAAGAAAACAAGAGATGACTTGGGAGTGATTGATAGTTTTGCTCCTCTGAAAAATGAGTCACATACTTCAAGCTAAAAGGAGAGTCTATGTCTTGGCGACAGAGCATTCCCAAGAGGAAGGTTATGGGTAACTTGTATCACATTGCACTCTGTAAGCTGTCTGTGCCACTTAACATTACTTGAGCTGCATGGCCGGAGACAACATTTGCTTCCAAGTAATGGTAAAGAATTCTTTTTAAATGAAAATAGAAATGTCTGTTGGACATCCATGTATTTTAGGGTATTTGATCTGTTCACTTGAAAATATCCTACTGCCTGAGTAGAATTTGACATCAGCAGTAAATATAATTGGAAGAAGATGAACTTGTCCGAATTGTTTAGGAATGAAGCTGGCATTTAAACGTCGAATACTTCAACAACAACAACAACAAGAAAAAGCTGCTGAGTTCTACTTTTTTCTTAGTTTTCCATATAGTCTTTTTACTGTGCCGGGGCAGGATGGCGCAGATCGGTAATTAGGGAATGCTGGTATCCATCTGCCCTGGTGCCCTTCTCCCTGCCGCCTGTGTTGGCTGGGTGCGCGCCGACAGACGGGCTGCCCTGTTGGGATCCAAACCCTAACGTTTTGTCATCTTTATCTCTTGTAGACTGGGGAAGCCTGTGAAGTGGTAATTCTGGAGCGGTGCTGCGTTGTGGAGTTCAGGAGTAAAGCCCATGTTTCAATAGTGCTCAGTAAGTAAGATGCAGCTTACAGTGTTCAATGTGTGTTTTGTATTCCTGTCAGATGAACAAAAGCAGCAAAATGCCATACTTGGAAAATTTGTTAAACAATTTACTAAACACTTGTGCTAAACTGTTGCCTCCTTCTAAATCTTGCTTGTGTTTATGGCTGAAAAGCAAGCGCTAAAGGCCATGTTTTTTGTTCTTGTGTTTGTCTCCTATCAGTTCTTTGTTCACAGTTGTTTAACATCAGAAGCGTTAGAAGAAATACAGGGTTTTTTTTTTCCCCTCATAGCAATTGGAACTGTTATTTTAGTGGGAAGACTTATTTGCAGAGAATGCCAATACCTACTTTTCCCTGCAAGAACAACTCAACTAGACATTGTTTTATTAGAAATTGTTTATGACTGATACTGTGGCCAAGGTTTGTAGTCATAGGATCAACTTGCAATTTTCAGTTAGTCTTTATCACTTGATCTTTCTTCAAAATCAGCTTGTCTAACACTGAGTTTTTTTCTTTTTTTTTTTCTGTGGTGCCAACAGTGTGCTTACAGAGCATGCATTAAAATGCCTATCTGGTGATGTAGGGAGATTAGTTCACAAATATTTTGGGTATCTTGGTTTGAAATATATATGTGTATATATGAAAAAGCACACATGAAATGAAGCATGTATTTTGGTCTTGATTCTTTGAAGACATCTGTCTAAGTTTGGTCATGCCTAAATAGCATACTGTAGCTGAGAGCTCTTGGAGTTTGTTTTCAGAAGTTGGTAATGCTAGCTGTGGGGGAAAAACCCTCTTGTGCTCTTTGTTGATTTGATGGTCATTTATTAGCAGTTCTTACCTTCTTTCTTACCTTCTTTCTTTTATAAGAGAAAGTCCGGGGGGAAAAACCCTCTTGTGCTCTTTGTGGGTTTGATGGTCATTTATTAGCAATTCTTCTTTCTTTTATAAGTACCTTAATCCCCAGTCCATTTCAAGAAGAGTATTAGTTATGTTATTTTGACATGAATTTGTTTACGCTAATATATTGATCTTACATTAGTTAGGATTACTTTTTCCTATCACTTGCCGAAGTAATTCTCACTATTTGGCTGCATTTAAGAAGGCAGTGATTGAGGAGTTTTGCTGTGTGTTTTGTGTCTCTGTGAATTTTGTTCTGTTCCTCAAAGTTCTTCCTTTTCAGGGGTGGAATTAAATCTTGTCTTGTGCCTGAAGTTGAGTTATTGCATCAGAAACTTCTCAGAGGAGTATGACTTGACCTAGCAATAAAATAGCTAATGATTACTGTTGATTCTTGAATTGTGAGTCTTTTCTAATGATGCACTTGTTGATTCTAATCTGTTAATTGTGGTTACTGGCTTTGAGGTGGTGTGTTACAGTACAGTTGCACCAGCTCCCTCCTCCTGGTGCTCTTTTATAATGCTTGAATGTTTGCTGCTGTTCCCGACTTTCAGCTGTAATAGCTGGCAGGATTCTGTTATATTGGCAACCCGTAAATGGGAGAGTTTTGTGGCAGTGAGATTGGCAGATTTCGAGTCCAAAAACTGACAAAGTAGATGACAAGGAGTACAAAATAAGCACTAAAGGGCTGCCTGTGGAGAAAGACTGTGAATGTTTCTGGAAGAAAGACATGCATGGTTAGAAATAGGAACTGTTACTGAAGAGACAAGCATTCTAAAAGAAAATTTGCACATCTGTAGTGTAGCTGGAAATAAGAGTGGTGTTCGGAGGAACAGCTAACAACAAATTATAGGCAAAAGGAGGAAACGGTTGAGAACTTGAGATATGTGGACCTGACAAGATGATGGAGCATACCTGGAGGGTGACCAAAGGAATGCGGCAGAAGATAGCGCAAGAGACGGGCAAGATGATGAGAAATGGATTTCAAACTTGGCAAATTTCCTTTTCTGGAGAGCAAGGACAAAAGGTTGGCAGATTTGTTGGACAGGAGAGGAGAAAGAAAGCCAGACTACTGTGAAGAATAAGAACAAAACTTGAAAAGGAATGAAGGTGATACACTGTGCAGACTGAGGATAAAATACCAAAAGAAGTGAAATAATACTTAATGTACTGTAGGAAAGAGCAAAGTTGAGAGGACAAAAGGAAAAAAGTAAACTGAAAATTGGGGAGAGATCTTTGTTACTGGAGACTTACATCATGAAAAAATGGCCATCCTGTCCTTGGAATATATCCAGAATTACTGTTGGGATTCAAAAAAGCCCTAATATGTTTATTGCATGCTTAAAAGGATGGAGGCAGGAAAGAGCTTTCTGATCCACTAGTTTTCTAATTATCTGTTGTGCATCATCTAATTATATTGTGAGGCTTTATTGACTCATGATACTGTGGAGGCTAAAATCATAAGCAGAGTGCAGAAGAAAGCACACAGTTGGAGAGGACAGCTCTGTAGGTGGCTGTTAAGCACAGTGGTCCCCAAGCAGTCCAACGCAAGGTTTGAGATGTCCATTTAAGGAAAGTGAAAAGATGTAGTGGGCAAAATATTGTTCTGTACATTGGTTACTTGTATGTATTTCATCTTGCCGTTAATGGAACAACGCAGATGCTGAGATGGATCTGACTGAGTATGACAGTTCTTATGGATAGGATTCATTTTCTATGTGCAGAAATGTGAGAAGAGTCTATTTTGATGGTTTTGCTTGCAAAGATGTTGCACCTGGGAACTGCCAGCACCCATTGAGGTGTCAGAGCAGTGCAGCTTGCTTAGCTTGCCTTCTGCTCCCAAATAACCAGTGCTGACAGCAGCTACGCTTGCAGCTTGTCACGCAGGGACAGGCGCCTTAGCTGAAGCCCGCACTGAGGTCTCTTACAGGTTATTAGAGACACTTAGAGAACTGTCTCTGGATCTTGTAACCACCTCTGAGAGGGGTTCCTTTGTGTTGGATTTTTTCCCAGGTGTCTCACTGTGTGCATGTGTTGTCCCCTAACAGAGGTGTCAGTGTTTGAACAGAAGATGCAAGAATGTGATGCAAAGGCTTGGACAGCCAAGAACTGAAATGGTCCTAGTGTTATTTCTTTGTCACTGTTACTGTTCTCTGGTGCAGGATGACTAGAGCTTGGCTCATTGAATCTTTGAAACTCTAAAGAGCAGCCTGGAGTTGACCTCTGTGGTGCCGAGTCTCACGATACAGATGTCATGTGGGTGAAAGTGAAGAACAAACTGTGTCGGTCTCCTCAGCTCCATGTGATACTGCATGTACAACACAGATGGGAATGCACCCAGGATCTGAGCAATGAGATGAAATCATATTGGATCTGAGAGTCTGCATTCAGGGACAGCATTCTCTTCAACTGTAAATCTCTTCAGATTTCAGGTTCTGAGCTTGGAGGTGATAACTTGTGTTAACACTGTCTTACTGCATGTGGTCTGTTACTGAGAATGAGGGAAGCAAGAGCCCTGACATGCAGGTAGGGCTGGTGAGGCGTGGGAAGAAGGGAAGGGACAGAGGAAGATGGTCAGGAATGGAGTGTAAGGGCCTAGTCCAGTTAATCAGGTAGACTGTTACAGGGCAAGAGACCTCCCTGCAGGAACGCCTGTGAGATGGCAAGCGGTTCCTTTTGCCTTTTGTAACAGTGTGCAAATTTGCTGCAACTTTTTTGTTGAGATATCATTGTGAATTTTAGATATGTGTGTGGTCTGTCTGTCTTAGGCCTTAGGTGTGGCCTTTATTTAATGAAAAGGAAGAATGTACCTGGCATGTGTGAAAGGTTGCTGCTATTAAAAGAAACGAAGTTTTATGCTGCAGTAAGGAACCTGGGGAAGCCAAGTTACATTGCATACTCTTTTCATTTCAGATAGCTCCAGCTCTCTGAGCTTTTGTAGGGACTTACATAAATTGCCTTTATAATCTCCATTTAAGTTAGTTCTAGTATTGCAAGTATATATACACACTGAGGATGATAAAATTTTAATTAAATTCTGTATCTTTCATTGGAAACTTAACTTTCAAGGGAAGATTAGCAGAGCATCATCAGTAACCGTGGGATGATTTCATCACTGCTAATTTGAACATGAAATGCATCAGCATATAGAATTCAGTCAGCTTTGTGAATTAAAAACCTCTGATGTCTGTATTAGAAATATCCTGCGGATATAATTTACGTATCAAAGCTTTCATTCTGCTTTTGTTACAGCATATGGTGGTTAGCTGTGATGGTGCTTTATGTTTTGGAGTGACAGGGCCTCATTGATATTCCCAGGCATTTTCCACTGCTGAGGTAGCAACGCAGAATTGCTCTTTGCTAGTAAATGTGAAAAGGGAGAGGTAACCTTTAACTGCTGTGAACTCTCATTTCACATATTGGCATGGGGGGAAAAGTGATCCTCCAGAAAAGAAGTCCTTGTCACTTCAAATAATGACATTCACCATGTGCTTAGTGTATGTTTTCATTTAAATATTGTCAGGATTTTCTTTCTTTTACTTTGTACAACATGATTTTATTCTTACAGCTCTCATGAATGAAAATAAAGCAAACCAAATGCTTGACACAGCCTTGTCAGCCTTCCTGTCAATTAGACATGCCTAGTAAAAATAGAGCAATAAAGCCTTGTTAAGAAAAAAGCTAATGTCATAGAGAAGGATCTTGAAAACAAAACAATGTTGCTTCTCTCCTGCCCCCTATCTAGACACAAGAGTTTTAAGATATTTTTAAACTTCCCATCAGGTGCATTTTTAAAAATAAAACAAAATTGTTGTTAAAATTCTTTGTGGTGTTCCTTTTGGATATTAGTGTCATAAGGTATACAGAAGAGACAGCTGGTAGTGTTAAATTGAGATAGAAAAATAAATATTATTACATGAGCCTTGGAAAAAGTGCAGTTACTTGAGGGTGGTAGGACTAACACCAAGAGACACTTGTGTGCTGCAGAGAGCTTGGGTTAGAGGGGAAAAGGCTGCGTGTGGTGCCTTTGGGGTATCTCCACATGGTGCTATTTCTGTTGTCTGACAGTGGCCCTGCCTGAGCCAGAGTGCTGGGAATTCCTTATTGGAGCATCAGAAATCCTATGGGAGTGTAGGTTCATACATTAGCTTCTGTGGGAGGAAGTTTGAGGTAAAACTTGAAGTAAAAGAGTTTGTTGAGCGAAATCCTCCCTGGGCCGACTAATCCTAGTCACATGGTAGGGGAAGGGCGTTACAAGCAGGCACGGCAGCTCCAGGGTCTGCTGCAGCAGGAGTCCCTGCGTGGGGATGTGGCACGGCAGCGAGGAGGGCGAGCAGGGCCGAGGGGAAGCTCAACGGCAGCTGGTGGCGTGGGGAGATGGCTCTGCTCCTGTGCGCTTTTGGGCAGAGCTGAGGCAGGGTGGCTGAGCGTGGTGTTGTGCTGAGGGAGCTGGGTGGCTTGAGCTGCAGAACTGTCCCTAAAAAGAGATGCGGAGCAGAGCTGCTGAGTGGGTGCACCTCCCTGGAGTCCAAAGCCTTGTGACCACCTGCTACAGAGCAAACACAGAAAGTGTTTCTGGAGGCCTTGCAGTGACTTCCTGGAAGCTTTCCTTCCACACCTTACCAAAGTATCCCTCAGAGACCACTCTGTGCCCTAGAATTAGGAATTTTTGTCCTTTTTTTTGTTTGTTTTATTTAAACCTTGTTGGTTGCCTTCCCCTGAGATGGTAGTTTTTCAGCAGAACAACTCAACTGGGTCTAACAGAGCAGAGATGGTGGGAAGCACATGGATATCTGGTTACTTATATTGCGATTGCAGACTGGCGTTTGACTCGGGGGAAACACAATCCCTGGAACACAAATGTGAGGAATACCTGAGTCTCCACGTGTTGTCAGGTTAGCTCTGGTGGTGGCGTACGTGGTGTAGTAGCAACGCTCTTGCTTTTAAGCGCTCATGTTAAGCTCCATGACCTGGGTAGATATCTTGGAAGGAGCTGAGGACAAAGCTTCTCAATCTTGAGTTAGAGTGTGATTTTGAGGGAATATGTGCAAATTTACCTGTGGAGTGAATGCTGCTGCATTCTCATAGATGACATCAATATCCTCATATCTGTCTGCTCTGTTTCTATTTTTGGTTGTTTTATGAAAGATTTTGGAAGTTTGTGAAAGCTTTTGACTTCTGTAGCTGGACTGACTTTTTACAGATAACTAGAAAGAAGATACAAAATTGGGTAACACTTTGCTTTAACCTTTGTGTTGGTAAGTTAAACATTTGTTTTTGAAGGGTGATTCTTTTGTCTTGCCAAAGAAATCGACAAGCTCTGAGAGAAAAATACTGTGTTTAGTTGTGGCGAGGAAGACTCCTTCCTTGGGTTTATACTTTGAAGCAGGATGTGAAATACATAACTTAACCAACTGCTCAGTGCACAGAATAAACCTTTTTCCATTTGCAGTGGTGATTTTCCAGATATTTTCAGATTCTTTTAGGAATTTAAGTCACCTGACTGAGTACTCCGAAGATCTCACTTTAGCATACTGTGGGGTTCTGAAATGATGGAGTAGTGAATTTCCGGATCTCAGTGCTGGCACCTGTTAGACAAGAATACACTGAATTATGCCCACTCCCACTGCATTTCCCTAGCCATTTCTGGCTGCCTGTGTACGAAGTGATTCAGTATGCTTTTTGTGCTTGATGGGCTGATTTCCACAGCTAAGATAAATATAAATAGCATGATTTCAATTGCAAAACACTGACTTTCTCCTGAAGCAGATTTTCTTTTATCTAGCTAATGGTAGACTATTTCAAGGTAGGATCATAGTTCCATTTACATTTAAAATAAATTTTTAAAAAAGAATATTTTGATAAATATGACTTTCGGTTGTAGAGTTTCGGTTTGTTTTTTTTCTCCGGTCTTTCCTTAGCGAAGCTATCTTGGATATCAAATTAAAACTATGTACTTTTGAAGACTGTTAAATTTCTGGGTTTTTTTTTGTGTGTATATTTGCTTAACTCATTTGTGATTAATTTGGATGCCTGGTGTTGGCTGGTGGCAAGCCTTTCCCCTTTTTTAATATGGGTAGTACTAAAGTAAATATAACATTTTGAATCTGAGTCAGTGGCAGAAGGGAGGGCAGTAGACAAGTGTGGTGTTTTGGCTCTTACTGAAGCATCAAAAGTTAGAAAGTCTTTTAATTACAAGCCTTTTTAAAGTTTACTGCCCCCATTGCTCAGCTGCAATTATAGATCACATGAAAACTTGTAGCTGAAATTTCTGTGAATTAATCTGTCACAAACAATACAGGCCAATTGTTCAGTTTTAGTCCCACAACGTAACTGTCGGTTCTGTGTATAAGCAAGAATCTGACTAATACCTACAGCTCCCTCGGTTTTGGAATATTCTTTTCACCTGAAGCTAATACCTTATTTTTCCAAACTGACCCAGAGTCAAAGGCAAGAGCTGGTATCTGTATTTAGCACTTCTTAAGTTACCTGTGGAGTGAGAAGTGCGTTGTCTCACTCCCTGCCTGAGTGGGGAGTCCAGCTGCTCTGTGAAGTCTCAGTCCAAACGGGTATCAGCCCCTGCAGCCATGTGTTTGGGTTTGCCTGGTTTCCACCCCAGAGGGCAAACTCAGTCCCAGCTCTGCTGGGTGCTGTGCCAGTGCAGTTTTAGGAGGCTTCCAGGCTTGAGGTTTGGCTCTTTTGTCCCCCATAACAATAAAAGCCCTGTTAATTGCAAGTGGCAGATGCTCAGTCTATGAAGTGCCAACCAGTTTAGAGTAACATATGTGGCTAAGTGCCCAAGGTTAGGTGCTAAAACCAGGAAATGGAGTTTAAATTCACTTTTTGTTACTCAACTTCTTAAAGTTTGCATATGACAGCATTTAATTGCTATGTCTTATCCAGCAATATACAATCTACAGCTTTTCTTAGGGTCAGAATGGCTTTGATGCCTGACTGAATATTGCCCACGTTATTAATAAAATACAGGTGTTTAAAGAGTTTGATGTCGCTAAGTCATTATCTTTGAAAGAATGATCACTTTCTTTCCTGGTTGGATCTTCATTGTGGATATCTCAATGAAAGCCACAGTGAATTTCCAACTCTGGAGCTGTCCATACCACAGAGTTTGAACTTGGGTTTCCCCCTCCTTGCTGATTCTAATTGAATATGTGACCCTTTCTACTACTTGCCTTCCTTTAGGAGCCTCAGGTTTTTTTGTTTTGCTTTGTTCTTAGAAAATTTGGTCATTAAGTAACTAGGCTTTTGTTAGGCAGAACAGTAAGAGCTGTGGCAAGTAACGAGGTTGGAAGCTCCCAGGTACAGGCTGTTGGGTGAGCACAGAGGGGCTGTGTCGTGCTATAGATCACCTCCATAGACTGCAGAGGTGCCTTCTGGCAAGGCTGAAGGAGAGGCACAAAGGGCAGGGCTGCCCCAAGTGGTGACACACGTTCGTTTTGGTGCATCCTGCTGTCTCGGTCAGAAGCCTGCCTGCTGCCCCTGCTAAACCTGTATGGGTTTGGAACTGTTTGGAGCTGTTCACTCCTGTATGTGTTAGCAGCCCTGATAGCGACCTGCTGAGCTGCACAGCCCAAACGAACAAATGATTTCTCATTTTGGTGCGATTCTGCTCCTGATTTAACAATATGTTTATTCGTCTTGGGGTGGCTCTATAGTGTAGGCTCAGTGCACCTAGCAGGGAAGAGCAGGGGATTGACTAGAGGGTAGTTGATGTGCCCGGTTCTGTGACTGAAGAAATAGATGTGATGTTTGAGCTCTGTGACATCTGTCTTGTCATGAATCTCCCCTCAGCATCCGAGTCGCTGAAAAGCGTGTTACTGTTTTCTGAATGCAGAGTTCCAGAGCGGAGAACCTGATCTTTACCTAGAAGCTGCATCCAAGCCAGACTGCGAATCCTGGGCTGTGGCACTCGGAGAGGCAAACTCGGAAGGTTTGCGGAATAAAATTCAGCAGCTCCGGAGGCTGATCATGGAAGTCAAAGAGGAGAGAGCATCAGAGGAAGCACGGCCGTTTGTCCCTTCATCGCAAGCAGACAGTCTAGGAGAGCCGCAGTTTACAAGTAAGTGCATGCACTCCTGTTGTTGTGCAGTCTGGCAAGAGTGCCCCAAAACTTGCAACAAGCAGCACGGGTCGTGTCAGCCATCGTGTCACGAACAGGTTCTGTACTGTCATTTAAGTAGATGATTGACAGTGTGCTGTAGTAGAGGAAGCAAACTGATAAAAATTATCCTTAAATGTCATTACTTGATATATTTAGGTATATGCAAATAGCACCCTTCAGGGGAACAGGTGTGTGAGTACAACATTTGTCTTGTGTTTTTCCCCTCAATTGTTTGTTTTTGTTTTATGAGCTTTAGAAATTTAGTTGCAAATATCCTTCTCTTTTGTGACTTACATGAGTATATGGGCTACTGTATGAAATATAGCCCAATAACTTTGATAAATCGATGAAGGAAGCCTTAGTGATACTGAAGTTACTATCACAGATTTGTTCTTTTTGATAAAAAAGCACCCTGGGAATCTGAAAGCACTGAGCTGTATGTTGAGTCATGCTTGGCATGCTGCAGTCTGAGCTGTGCTCCGCTATTACACACTGCATTTCGGTTGCCCAGTTACTTAATTGAGTCTGTGTCCAGCATCCTCATAAAAGCTGTAAACATGCTGCAGACTGATATGCTGACACTGTTCGTGGCAAGGCTCAACTCTGAGAAACTTGTAGTCAGTGAAATGGGTGTAACTATTGAAAAAGGGAAAGCATTATTTATTATTTTCTACTGACCAAGACCTTTCTAAGATGTAGTTTTCCTTGTCAGATTTGAATCATTAGTTATAGTAATAAGAACAATGTGAAACCAAAATGATTTTTCTGCATGTTTTCATGGAAGATGAACAGCTATAAACTATTTCTTGAATTTCTAACAAAAGCCTTCTAGTTGGTCCACCAGCTCAGGCCTTCCTAGCTGACCAGTTGCTTCAGTATTGGCAGGCAGCTGGTGGTAATGTTCCTTGAAGGCAATGTATGGATGTCAGCATAAGACGATCTCATTTCTAAAAGGTTCATCCATATCATAGTTATCCCATAGCTTCCTGTGGAGGTTGAACAACTCTGTATTTGCCCTCCTGTGTTTCTCTTACTCGCTAGTTTTGCAGTTCTGTTTTGCTCCTGTACCCTGTAACAGAATAATGCCCTTTGCAATAAAATAGTCCCTGTAGGAGTATAATTCCGAAAAGGAAAGTTAGCAGTTTACATGCTTTGCTGAAAAGTCTGAAAATTCCAAAAGGAATTTTCTTTTCTATTTGCTTTTTCTGTTTTAAAAATCATGTTGTAATTGGATTTATAATAGCATTAACAGTGATAAATGTTTTACTATATTAACCCCATTTATGTATTTTCAGAAAGCATATTTTTTGTTTCCTTTTTAATGTGATGACATTCATTTAAAATTAGCTGTTAGAATTGACATTTATGACAAATATGGAGATGACTGTTCTGACTGAAAATCTTCAAAGTGCACATCCATGAGAGCCATGAATTTTGGCCTTTTTTTTTTTTAGTGTCCTTTCGCAGCAATGAGTAGTTAAGTCATCTTCATTTTTCTTCCCCAAGAAAGCTGGTTTCTTTTTAAGTAAGAATTTCATGAAAAGATTTCTTTTATGATGAGTTTTTAATGTAAAATGATACTTCACCTGTAATGACAAGTAGGTATCAATGTATGAATTAGGTTACTTTTTTACTGCATAGTAAAAAGCTAGATAATTGAAATCAAATTATTTCTAATTATTTTTTTCCTTACTGTTACAAGGTATTCAGAAAATTGCAAATGAACCAAAGCTGGAGTTCAGTCTTGGTAAGATATAACTTTGTCTTCTTTGCAATTGTGATGGGGTGAAGTGTTTCTCTATGTAATGTTATGTGGTATAATGTAAAATGTTTTTTTTAAAAAAAAAAAAAAAAAAAAAAAAAAAAGCATGCCTGTTGGTAGGAGCCTGTGTGTGTGGCCTCAAAATACTGGCTTTGACGTTTTGATTGGTTGAATTTGCCAAACATCATCTGAGTTTTATAATGCTGTGCTGCTTTACCATGCTGCCAACCTGCCCACTAGTTTTATATGGATATTGTTTGTGATATGTTACTGATTTGGGGGCCAAGAGATTTAAAGTAACTTCCCCGAAACTGTATCATATTCAAAGAAAAGTACTGTCACTTCCGTAGAGTCTGTTTTTCGTAAAGCCAAGAGTCAGGCAGTGTGTTGCAGGTGGAGGTGCGCAGTGTCTGCAGCCTGGGCAGCATGCCCCTGAGGCCTTCCTGTCTGAGGCCTGGGGTAGGGGAAGCGGCTGCCCAACATACTGGGGCATGGCTGACTCGTTGCTGTGCTCGAGGGAGAGGAATCTCCCAGGCTGACCCCGGGGAAGGGCCAGCGAGGTGCTGTGCACAGGCCACGCAGTGCAGAGGAGCGTC